GCCCGCGCACGCGTTTCCTGTTTCTGAAACATTTCTTGGGATTCTCTTTAACTGAGAACTAGTCTATCAGCCAAAATCTATGCCCATTGAATTTCTCAGATGAAAATTTTCTATTTTTTAGGACCTGATTGAAATCGAGTTTGATCTTCGAAAATATACGCGGAAATTCTCAAATTCTCACGTAAATGATTCCTTGAGTCTCCAACTGAGATTTAGTCCGATTTTTCAAAGTCTACGTAGATTGAAGTTTCCATATGGAAAATTTCTTGGGATTTAATCCCATCTCCCAAAATCTACGTAGATTAAAATCCTCACATGGAAAGTTTCTTTTTCGGAATCTAATTGGAATTTAGTTTGATCTCTTGAAACCTACGCGGGAATTCTCAAATTCTCACGTAAATAATTTCTTGAGTCTCCAACTGAGATTTAGTCCGATTTTTCAAACTCTACGTAGATTCAAGTTCCCACATGGAAAATTTCTTGGGATTTAATCCCATCTCCCAAAATCTACGTAGATTAAAATCCTCACATAGAAAGTTTCTTTTTTGGAATCTAATTGGAATTTAGTTTGATCTTGCAAAATCTACGCGGGAATTCTCAAGTTCTTATGTAAATGATTTTTTAAATTACCAACTGAAATTTAGTCCAATTTTTTAAAATCTAGTAGACTCAAGTTTCCAAAATTTCTAGGGATTTAATTTGGATCTAATCTTATCTATTAAAATCTACGTAAGTTCAAATTCTCACATAGAAAATTTCTCTTTTGGTACTTAATTGGAATCTACTTTGATTTTCCAAAATCTACACGGAAATCAAGTTCTCACGTGAAAAATTTCCTACGATCCAACTTTAATCGATTCGAGTCGCAGATTTAAGGTAAAAGTGTAACGTTCCAAATACGCGATTCTAAATAGAAAATTCGAACTTTTCTTTCCTGTCTTTACTTTATGTTCGAATTGTGGTTTTCGATTTTTCTATTAAGTGCATAGTTAACATAAAAATAGGACCCTGATGCCGCGAAAGCACATCGTAACCCACAAAAAATCTAACGAGTTCTAACATTTCTACTTCGATTCACATTCGACTTTGAAATAAGAATGGATAAGATCTCCAACTGGTGTTTTAATGGAATAATCAATTTCAGGACAAATATTCATATCGGAGGAATCGTAATCGGAGTCCATGCTGTATCTAAGAGAACCTTGCGGAATCTCTACATTATTTCTCACATCGGGGGAATTCTAATCAGAGCGATTGTAATCGGAGTCAATGCTCCGTCGAAGAAAATCCTGCGAAATCCCTGTGCAGATTCCGCGCGTCGGCGAAGGCTCACCGCGAAATATCGCGGCCGCATCTGCGATTTCCGGAGGCGAGGGAAAGACGGGCGCGAGCGCGTCCGAGATCGCGACAGCGGCTCTCGTGTGGAAAGAAACGCCGGCCTTGGGAAATGAGAGGGGCTAATCTGCGGCAGGTGGCGTGTGAAGAGAGCGAGCGAGAGAGAGAGAGAGAGAGAGAGAGAGAGAGAGAGAGAGAGCCGCCAGCGCGCGGAATCGTGCGCGAGGCCTGGCGTGCACTGCGAAACGCCATTTCTCGCGGCGTAACGCACGCCAGAGCTTAATTGCCGTCGCGGAATAACTGCCATGAGACGTCATTGTTATTATGAAGCTCGTCCCTCGCGGGACGCCGCGCGAGAGACGCGGAGGACGCCTGGCCGGAGCCCACGTCGCTCCTCTCTTTTTTAACACGACACACGCGAGCGCGCGCGAATGCCGCGGGACGACAGCTAGACCAGCGGAAATTGGCTGGCCGGCCGAGCGTAAAGTCGTCGTCGGAGTCGCGATTTTATGGGACATTCGCGGCAATTTCGGCGAATCGCCGCACTAAAACGGCCTGACCTTCCCCGCCTCCTGTCCCGCGATAAGATCGTCGCAACGTGCAATCTCAGCGCGTCTCACTTTCTTTCTCCCTCTCTCACTCTCTCTCTCTCTCTCTCTCTCTCTCTTTCTCCCTCTCTCTCTCTCTCTTAGTTTCTTTTTCCACCTTCCTAACGAAAACATTTCAAGTGGCGAAAGGTACGCGCGGAGTTATCTACGAGGGTAGTCCCAGAAATACCTGACCTGACGTATAGATAGCGGTTGTTGTTTGAAAAGAATGACTATGGTAGAAAGTACCAACCTTATAAAGCTTAAGTTTGAAGTTTGACGACGCTACGTTGTTTAGTATTTGTTTGGCAGCCATCAATAGTGAACGCTCTCAGTGAATTTGTAAACGTGGAAAAAATTGATCATCGTTATGTGATACAATACTTTCATTTGAAAGGCCTCAGTCCAACCAATATGAAAGCGGAGCAAGATTCTACTCTGGGGGAGTCTGCTCCTTCGTTTACAACAGTAAAATATTGGGTGGCAGAGTTTAAACGAGGCCGTACGAGCTGCCAAGACGAACATCGCAGTAGTCGACCAAATGAGGTGACCACGTCAGGAATGGTGAAGAAAATCCACAAAATGGTATTGGATGACCGTCGATTGAAAGTGCGCGAGTTAGCAGACATGGTAGGCATTTCAAAAAGTGCTGTACATCGCATATTGACCGAAAATTTGGACATGAGAAAGCTGTGCGCAAGATGGGTGCCATGATTGGAATAAAAACAGCGTTGTGAGGATGTTTCAATCGAGTGTTTGGCGAAGTTTTACAGCAATAAAGCCGAGTTTTTGCATCGATTCATAACCATGGATAAAACATGGGTCCATCACTTCACACCTGAGCCGAAGGAACAGTCAAAACAATGGACCAAAAGGTGGCTTGATGGCTATTTTGAGGAGCTCGACGATTCCCGCTATAAACAGGGTATCGAAGCTATTGAACATCGCTGGGAAAAGTGTATTGAGCTAAAAGAAGACTATGTGGAGAAATAAAGATATCTTTTCCCAAATTTTTTTTGTTTTCTTTGTTAGGTCAGGTATTTCTGGGACTACCCTCGTAGATCTGGCGGAGAGCTAATTAACACGATTAGCACCGGCGATAACTCCGCGGTCTCGCATGCGAAGTGCCCGCGCCGGTGTTTTACTACAAGCCCGAGATCAGGGGAAGGGGAACGACGGGGGGAGGGGCGAGGAATAGAGTGAAGGACCGTGGCCGATAGCGAGGAAACGCGTAAAAACCGGCGCCGGGTCTTTTACGTCCAGGCGGCGTCGAAATCGGCGGGGAACAACCGCGGCCATTAAGTAGGAAAGATCAAGAAGGAGTATCGGCGCCTGCGAGGGGTGGGCGCGAAATCGGGAGTCCTCGGAGGAGCTGCGTGTTGAAAGTTCACTCGGACGAGCTTCTTCGCGCTGGAACTTGGAAATTGAAGAGGATTTTTCTCGTGTGTCCTCATATCTCGCTGATCCCTTAAATTTTCGGGGAAGAGAGTGAAACCTTCTCGACAAGTTCTGAAATCGCGCTGCACGGAGGGAAATGGGAGAATTTCACGCTGGAATATGGACGACACGGAAATTGTCCGATTGAGGTTACCAGAATGCGCAGTTCGAGTCTTCTGGTTAATTCAAACAGAAATCTGCCATTGTCAATCGGCGGATTTCTGAATCGTCCATATTTTAGCAGAAATTCCATCCGTCCGGCCAGACATTTCTCACGTACGTCACACGCGGTGATGGAAAATATCAGGCGACTAAGAAAGATGGCGCGGTTTTTGTTTGGGTTCAATGCTGGTTGAGTTCACGTCGTTGAGACTTGTCGGGCGTGCTTATGCATATTATATAGTACAGGTTTGCGTGAGTTAATTGATGAACTTTGTCGCGGCGTGATTATGCGTCATTTTCAAATGTCTGTTGAATCGAGTGTAGCTCGAGCACATTTGCTTTATGGATTTAAATCGGTGATGAGTCACTTAAGGAATTAGGCCATCTTGGATGGGTTAAAATCATTGTCATTTCCGGGAACTTTTTCTGAGGACATAATAAAAGAAATACTAAAATGAAAATAAGATATTTATTAAGCAACTCTTGAAGGAAAAAGAGCATTTTTTTGTGAATATTTTAAACAAAATGGCGCCGAGACACTGGGAGCCCTTTTTGAATTTAGAAATATTTATTTTTGTGGAAATGAAAAACACTTGAAAAAAAATTTCATGTTCTGACCTAAAAGTTTCGTGCAAAAATGTTAATTGCAAAAAAAGTTTTTAATATTTCGCAAAATCCATATGTACTTCTTCAGTTTCTAGTATCTAAATAATAAACATTTTTTCACTTTTGTTTTATGTCCAATACTGTAGCCGTGAGACTAAACACCGCTGAGAGCGTCGGTCAGAAAGTGTCTCGGCTTCAACGCCGCCATTTTGTTTAAAATATCTATAAAAAAAATAATTTTTTTCCTTTAACCCATTAACTGCTGAGATATTAAATGACCAGTATGACCCTCTTTGCTGAGTAATTTTTACAATTATAAAATGTTTTATAATGATATAAGATTATGCAAAAATGTACATATATACCGGCTCTCTTTTCTTTTTCTTTATGCCAATGTACGTAGTATTTGAACATACATGACAATGCCTAGTGGCATTGTAACAAGGCCGCCATTTTCTTTCCACACTCGAGTTATCTCGACCGTAGCAGTTAAAGGGTTAAAGAGTTGCTTAATAAATACTTTATTTTCATTTTTGTATTTCTTTTGTTATGTCTTTAGAAAAAATTCCTGGAGATGACTGATTTTGACCCGTCCAAGGTGGCCTAACCCCTTAAAGATGCGGCACGTTCAGAAGAATTATTGATAATGCATTATTGATAACGAAGGGTTACCAATGACTTATTTATATATTATAAAATTTATTCGTATATCGATTGAGACATTTTTTCTGAAAACTTCCGCCCTCATTTGATTTTTAATCAACGCAAAATCGCACGGACTTTTTTGGTTGCCCAATGACAATAAGAAAAAAATACGAAGGAGGAGGGAAAGACAGTCTAATCGAACGGACGATGTTCCGCGTCTGATTGCAGAGTGGAAAGCTCAGCGCTGCAGTTGGTGTGCCCGCTGGATTCTCGTCCGGTGCAGCTAATCTTCCGAGGATTGCAGGTGGTCAGGGAGAAGCGAGCGCTCCTCCGAGATGTCTCGGGGGTCGTCAAGCCGGGCGAATTATTGGCCGTTATGGGCCCTTCAGGTATGTAAATGCGGCGGATCTCGCGCGTCTTCTCGAGCATCGCACGCGTTAAAAGTCCTTTTTTAACAGAACGGCATAAAATAGTATAGGATGCGGTGTTAGGCATTACAGATATCAATATTCTTCAGAAATCTGAAGATCACGTCAGTGCACAATGGGCCAGAAGTCCACTGTGGTTGGCCAAAATGCAATTTTTTGAACTTACATGAAATCAAACATTTGTGATATTATCTATTTATATACACTTTCCTACAGTAAATGTTGAAATATTGTTGTTTTATGTTAATTGGTATTGCTTGTGGAAAGATTTGAATGTAAAAAACTGTGTTTGCAAATCTAAACGTTCTATGACTTTCGTACACCTTTTGTTATGAATCTTTTCTTATCAGATATTATATCAGGACATTCCTATTATTAAATTGAACAAATAAAGTTATTTTTATCAATATATGAAGTTCTTCATGGTACATTGACTTTGTTTCGTCTGATAAAACTAATAATTTCAAATCTTATAGTACACTTGTTCAATTTCAAATGAAACTTTCCTGAATGAACCTGAATGAAACTTTCCTGAATGAAACTGAGCTTCCCCTCTAAAATCAATCATATGATACGTCAAATTGCTCGTAAGGATATGCACTATAACTTGAATAGGCGCCTTTTTGTCGATTTTTGATTACAACGCCAGAGAAAAATCATATTTGATACCGTAAGTCGCACTTACTTGAATACATGGTAAGCTAGAAGATCCTAAGAACTATCGAGAATTCGAGATTTTGTCAAATTTGTTTCCAAACTGATAAGAATAGTGTTTCAAAGTTGCCGATTTTGAATTCATTCATCGCGATGCGATGTCATGTCTCCAGATATCTTAACCCCTTCGCTGTGGACACCTAAATTGCACAAGTGGGCCCAAACTGCGCAGCATAAAGTAATAAGTCAAATGTGACAAATAAATATGTACAAACGGTTTTCGAGGTCGCTGAATAAGAATCTGTTGTTAAAATTTCAAAATTCAAAATGGTTGATCCAATATGGCGGCCAAAAAAATTAAAATCTATCTGATTGCTATGAAACTCGGTATCTAGGCATTTTTCGGATCGCTGAATACGAATCTGTGGTCAAAATTTCAAAATTCAAAATGGTGGTTCCAATATGACAGCTAAAATAATAATAATAATAATAATAATGAATCTTCAATGTTGAATTAAAAATTTTTTACTCCAGCAAAGTCAAAATAATCGTCCGCCATACTGGATCCACCATTTTAAATTTATGATTTTTGAATACGGATTTAAAATCAACGACCCCGAAAACCTACTAATACCAAATTTCAGCACATTTGGACCATTTTTAGTATTTTCATCCGCCATATTGCATCCGCCATTTTGAATTTCGAAATTTGGACATCAGAAATGGAATCAGCGATGCCGAAAACCTTATATAATCATGTAATTGCTAGATATTTACATGTGTTTAACAAGATATGAATTTTGGCCAGTGTCACCGGTCTCCTGGCCCACTGTGCAGTGTGAAGAAAAAGGGAGCTACTGGATTATTCCGCTATTACGTAAACGTGTTCGCAATTTTTTTTCAGAAACCAGACTGACAATACTGAACTTCATTTACCACGAGGTAACTTGAAAATGATGAGACATTCCGTAAGCTCGTATGACCCCGAGTCGAAATTCCGGCCCTACTTTCGACCTGGACTATCCAACGTCTGTAGATTTTGGAGAAACAATGAAGACGAAATTTCTATAGAGACGGAAGTCCTGTTGAGCGCCTGCCAATAACAGAAAACGCGCAATTTGCCATTAGTAGCAGGTTCAGAACTCGCTTTGCCTGGATACAATCAAAATGGATTGGGATGTAGATCTCAGAGTACTGAATCAGCGTTAAAGCGACTATTGAGAGATAGAGAGAAAAGTTGGAAGTAGAATCAAAACTTCGACAGATTATTAAATATGCTTTACTCAACGATGCATCCTTCGCAAATACATTTTTATAAATTACAGTTTTCCTTTTTTTCACTGTGAAAGTCTCTAGTTCTTTCGATCTCCACATTCCAAATCTGGCAGCCCTCAAATCAGGTCGCGTGATCTGAGACTGACAGCCGCGCTCATTGAGTTAAATCGGCGCTCGATAAAACATCTAGGTCGAAAGTAGGATCAAAATCGACTCGGCCGTCTTTCGTTACATTCGCGCCTTTTTCTTTCGTGAACATTTTGGTTCGGCCCGCTCGACGACCACGAGGTGCCGTAACTCGCGTAGGCTCTTTCTCGGGCTCTTTCTCGCTCTTTCGGTTCGCGGCCGCGTTATTCCTCGTGCGGGGTCTCAATCACGTAAACGTCGCGCAGAAAGTCCGCTTCTATTTTTAACGCTTTTATGTGCAGCGGCGAAATATATATAGAGGAGAAGGTGATATGGTGTTATGGCCCTCCCCTTCGCATTTTGCACAATAACTTTGTCAATAATCAATATTTTAAAGAGAGAACTGAATGATTACATTGTTCACAGTATTGTTTTACAGATTATAGACTCAAATTTACGTAATGTCTATTATTTAGAATGTTATTTATAAAAATACGTGGCAACACAGCGTAATAGGTCGGCGAGGAAATAGGATAGTAATGTGGCCTCCCACTAAAACTGATACAAAAAATGGATTTTGTTTAAAATAACACAAAGAGTGTTTAGTTACGAAGTTGTGGTATATTTATCCAAATTAAACTCTTAGAAGGGGAATAATAATGAATACAACTGCAAGTTTTTAATGTGGTAATTGACTTACTTGTTGGAAAATACAATCTGCCAGAGAGGCAGCGGAGTAATGCAAACATAAGTGCAACAATAGGCTACAGATTAGAATCGGCTTGAATCTAATGATTACTTTGATATAAAAACTTCGAAAAAGAGGCAGTATTTATCAGCACTGTTATGGGGCCACATTAGCGAAGTGTCATGCTATTTCATTTAACTTTGCACAACTTGAAAGATGTACAGCCGAGGAGAATATCAAGTAACGAGCAAAATACTCAATTGTACATATATTCGTGTGACAATGCGCTCGAGTAATTTGAAGATAAAAATTTAAAAATAACGATGAAACACGTCTAATTAAATGCTAAAATGTGCCTTGAGAAACAGTTCGAAACGCTCGAAAGTAAAAATGCGTTGTAAAAAGTGTTAGCTATTGTCTATTGATATATTAGCGTCACTACGCTAATGGCGAACTATTAAACAAATGACTCCATAAGTAATAATTGGAATTCGCTACCTAATGATGGAGATACAGCAGAGTGGCCATAATAGCTACAAGGTCCATAATACCATCTTCTCCTCTTATATTTAAAAAAGGGTTCAGGACTTTAAAGGCAGATAATACCCACAAAATACAGAAAGAAAGTCCCGATAAACATGGGTCGAAAAATTAATATTATCGGAACAATTATTTATTTTAATTAAAGCAAATGACTGGCTCGCTTCTGGTGCTTGCAAAGATTTCGTACATGTCCTCCTATTTCTACACCTGTTATATTATATAGTTTCTATCAGAATTCTATGACCTTCAGCCGCCATTTTCTTCTGATTAAAAAACAAAAGCAACGCATGCCGAAAATGCTCTTTAGGAGGAAACTTTATTTTTAAGATAGTATCAACACGATTTTTACTGCGTCTATTGTTTGTAAATGACTAAATATCTTAGATTAATATTAATATTAAACATTAAGAAACAGTAGCTGTGATTGGAATGTCTTCGACGAAACTGACATTAGCGCCATCTCTTGCAAACCCCTCAAAACTAAATCTTACTCCTAATATATTTTCGTATTATAGAATTGCGAGCTCTTTCAAAAATTCCTGGTTCTGTTCTAACTGTCTGATGGGCATTTTGTATTTCCTGACGTAATTTGTGCAACATTTAAATAGATCCTTGAAAGAAGGATTGGACGGGGTGGACCATAGTCTGATGACTCCCTCGTTCTCCTGATTAAAATCCCGTAGACTTTTCTTTACGGGGATTTCTTAAGAGAGTATGGTGTACTCTTCACCGATAAATAACACCAATTACATCAAAGAATGCAAAATGTCCGGCAAAGACCGTGGAATAAGTCACTTGCTTGAATTAAAACAAGCAACTGTTCACAACTGCGACATTATTAATTTTTCGGCTCATGTTTGTCAGGACATCTTTCCTCCATTTTATACTATCTGCCTTTAAGGTCCTATACCTTTTTTTAAACACCCTGTATTATATATAAGTATTAGGTGTACAAATGAATAATCCAAATTATTTTAAGCAGTTATGAAATCAATTTTAAATTGAATAGATTTTCCCGCTCTTTTGTGATTATGCAATGTTGACATATAGCTATTAAAAAGAACATATAGTTTGGCGAAAGGCTCAACATAACCTTGAAAAGTATTCAGTTCAGTACAGTCGAAAATGGCAACAGATAAGGTGCATATCCGACATTGCATTCTTTACGAATTCCAACAAGGAAAAAATGCTGCAAGAGCGTGCGAATCGATTTGTTCCTTTCTCGGCGAAGGTGTTGTATCGTACGATGTGTGCGCATTTTGGTTTAAGCAGTTTAAAAGCGGTAATTTCAGTCTAATCGACAAACAACGCCCTGGAAGCCCTCCGAAGTGCGATAATGATGATTTGGAACAACTGCTCGCTGAGAATTCGGCACAAACACAAAAAGAGCTTGCAGAACAGTTGGGAGTAACGCAGCAAACGATTTCCAAACGCCTACATGAGATGGGAAAGATCCAGAAAGAAGGAAAATGGGTGCCTAACCGCATGAACTCACTGAAACCAACAAAAATCAACAAGTGGCAGCGTGTCTTTCTCTTCTCAATAAGCAGCGTCGAAAGCAGCTTTCTTGTGGAAAATCGTTACGGGCGATGAGAAATGGATACTCTATGACAATCCGAAACGCAGAAAGTCATGGGTAAATCCCGGCGAATCATCAAAATCGGTCGCGAAACCCAATCGCTTCGGAAAGAAGGTTCTTCTCTGCATTTGGTGGGATATCAAGGGCGTGCTTTATTATGAGTTGTTGGAACCGGGTGAAACAGTTACTGCGGACTGCTACCAACGTCAATTAATCTGCTTGAGTCAAGAATTGGAACGAAAACGCCCGTATACTGGCAAAGGAGAACCAGTCCAGTAAAATTGTTGCATGACAACGCCAGGCCACACATTGCTTCCAATACAAAAGACACCATAACGAGTCTTGGCTGGGACGTCTTGCAGCACGGCCGGCGTATTCACCAGACATTGCTCCATCCGATTATCACTTGTTCCGGTCAATGCAACACGCCTTGTCCGAAATGCCCTTCCAATCAGTGGATGAGATCCGAAAATGGCTTTATCGTATCCAAAGACGTAACATTTTTCCGAGATGGAATTCATCAGCTGCCTGAAAGATAGCTTAAAGTTATAGAAAGCAACGGCGAATACTTTGATTGAACAATTTAATTTACTTTCTTTTAAAATAAACCTTGAATGTAGCTGGAAAAAATTGGATTATTCATTTGTACACCTAATATGTATGTGTGTATACACAGGCGCATAAACAGGAGGGGGGTAGGGAAGAACGGCAGTTTCGCCGGGCTGGGGAATATTTATCGCCGCCAACGGCGAGAAAGTCCGCGCGCGCGATCGTTTTCGACGCATCGCGCGAGCGCGTCTAGCAAGAATCTACCGATCTTAATTATTTCGACGTGAAGTTCCGGCCCCGTTTCCCTCAGAGTCGCGCGTGCGCGCGGCAACTTTACGACGCAATTAGAGGCAAGCTCGTGATTCTCGCGAGCTTCCTTTTTTGTTTTTCTTTTTACCTCACCGTCGCTCTAAGGGAATGCCAAAGTGGACGATGAACTCCGAAAGTAACGATAAGGAACGATCATCCAATTAAGAGACAATACGATCGTGCTGTCCTCTCTTTTCGTATTTCCTCAACACGTGTAGATTTTACATAAACATATGCCGTTCTTTGTTTCGCCATATTCAGCGGAAGATGCTTCGTGTACTTTGAAGCCTTCAAACACAGTCGCGGGAAGACGCAGCGATCTGTGTCCTTTCTCAGCGGAGGAAACAGGAGTCGGCTGCAAAATTTTCGTACCAGTCAGATGTTTATTACGCTGTTATTACGCTGAATCGAGGTGTCAGCTTCTCCAAATTTCTCATCACTTTCTGTCGCGCGTTGAGCAACGCTGCGGTGCATTTTGCACGTTGTACTTTTATCGTGCAAGAAGCATCTATAATTCCGTGCGAGCGACGTCTCGTGAGGAGAGTCGGTGGAGTCTTCAAATATGGCGTCCCCTTAACTCGGGCATCCCGTGAATGCGCAGTAGGCGCTCGCGACGTCGCGGTGATTACTATGTATTTTAATCTTCCGTCGGATGCGCGATGCGCTTGACAGGCGTGTTTTATAGTTGCTATTTTAGGAGGGCGTCTGCGCGAAAGTCTTCTCTCTTACAATCTCCTCGGGTCATTTGTTTGTCTGTCATTTCAATTTGGTCATTTCTATCGGATGTTATCAGATATTTTACGTATATTTTACGAGACTTTACATTGTTTTATATACAAAATTTTTAGGTTAGTCTGTACTTTCATACAGGGTGTTCCGTAATTCGCGCTCGTCATAGAGCGCAATTTTTCACGAAAGTGTGCAACACTTTTCAACAGAAATGCCGAGGCGTCAAGCTGCGAGATGCGAGTGACCACCGGGGAAGCGGCGCTTCTCGCGAGCTTCGGGGGACTAAATAATCAACAATCTCATTTTCCCCGATCGACTTCCCACGTCGACGTCGAAGCAGTGATTTCAACGGGATTTTAATCCGAGGCGTCGCTTTCCAATCACGCGTACGCGTAATGCCGGCGAACGGTGGTAACGGCGCTCGACATTTTCGCTGAGGGGAGAATCGCCGGGGAATTCTCCCGAGGAACAGACTGCGAATAACGTTCGCGAACTGCAGATCGCGGACATCTTGCACATCGGTCTCGTCGCGCGAAGCTCTTCTTTCCCAATCGAATGATTTAACGCGCGCAAGCCGCGCCTGTCGGCTCGGCAATTAATACGCGAGCAAATCCCCGATAAATCTGCCCGCGAGAGACACCTCGAAATCCCGAGACGCGCGTCCGACAGTCCGCAAATGTTGCTCGCGGCGTGAGAAACGCCGAGCGTGAAAATGCCGCCGCAGGTGGCCGAAACGAGGACGCACACCGCCGCCGTCGGGGATCGCCGTCGGGCTCGCGCGCGCGCGATGATTTTCCACGATGAAAAGACGCGCGCGCGCGTGCGAGTCTTTCGTCATACGCGACACGCTCGCCGACGCGCGACAATAACAATGACAACAACTGCAGCAACAGCAACAGTAGGCTCTCACACGACAGCGGCGCGCAGGCGCTAAATTCTTCGTCTGTCACGTTTGTTGCAGGCTGTGGTAAAACAACACTGCTGAACTGTTTGTCCGGCCGCGTCGGCTTGGACGGCGGTGAGATCTGGCTGAACCGCGAGAGGCTCACCAAACGGTGGCGCAGGAGGATCTGCTACGTACAACAGCAGGACGTTTTTTTCCCCGATCTCACCCTGCGGCAGACGCTCGAGGTAAGTTCGACGACGATCGCCGGCGATTGGTCGCGCGGAAAGAATTTTTCCGAGAGAGGCTGCGTCGCGTTTTCGTACACTGAGAAAGTACGTCTCGGCTGGGCGTATATTATCCCGCGCAAATATTAACATTAACCTGCGTTGGCTTGCTTTTGTACGAGATAAAATAATACGTCGATATTAGAGCGATTATGGATACGCTGCTTGTGGTGCAGAATAAGGAAAATCAGAAATAACACATTGGCGAGGTCTTTTCTTTTCATTTCTCCGGGCATGTTTTTCCTCCAAAAGATAATTCCTGTTAATTAGTAGATAGTAATAGACCTGATACGCGATTAAAAGGTTTAATTATCAGGACCGCGCTTGTACGTCAGTATATTTTTTCTAAGCACAAGTTTGAAATTAAAGATCTGTGAGATTAACTTGGTGGAGTCAAAAATTACTTAAACAAAGACTTGATTAATTAAAGTAGGTTAGAATTAAATTAACTTTCTAAGTTGAAGGTGAAATTACGCAAATCAATATTTATGTTTTATATATAAATAATTTTTTAAATCTCACGTCAAATCCGTGCGATTTTATTTTTCCTTTCCTCTCTCTGAGCATCAATATATTTTTCCTCCAAAAGATTTTTTAATTAGAGTAGATAATAATAGACCTGACACACGATTGAAAAATGTAATTATCACAATCGGGCTTGTATACGCCAATATATTTTTCTAAGCATTAGTTTGAGATTAAAGATCTGTGAGATTAACTTGATGAAGTAAAAAATTACTCAAACAAAGACTTGATTAATTAAGATCGGTTAGAATTGAATTAACTTCCTAAGTTGAAGATGAAATTACGCAAATCAATATTTATATGCTTTGTATATAAATAATTTTTTTAATCCCGTGTCAAATCCATGCGAGATAATTAAAAGATTTTGCTAGAAAAAAATATTGGTGCCTAGGGGAAAAAAACAAAATGTTGGCAATATTAATCTCTATTGTTCTTATTCTACATTGTAAACACAGCCCGTGGCGACTCCAACATCGATGGATTAGTTTAGCTTGTACAAAAAGAAGCCAGCAAATTCACGTTAATGCATTTTAAAAGAACCGCCTTAGATTAAAAGTAAACTCTTGTCAAATTAGCTTGAAAGTTGTGAATTTTTTAACTTTTTAATTTAACTTTCAACTGATCAAGTAGTTATTATAAACGACCCTGTTTTACGAAACGTCTGAAAGTAGCATGAGCAATTATTTTGCACGCGGTATATAAATTTTAAACTCGGAAAGATACATCCGAACAAAACATCAATTAGCGTGGTCTATCTATTATTCAATAAATATTTTCTCCGTGTACACAAAACAAAGAGATGCACAAGCTTCGACGTTAATTCCTTATCAAGTGTCTCGTTTCGTTATAGAACCATGTTCGCTTGCTGCGGATGTTTTCTACCTTTTACCGGGTGAGGGGGGGGGTAAAGCGCATCGCTTCATCGCTAATTAAACGTTGAAGGAAGATGAAACGATGCTTTCGGCGTCACGAGAAAGCGCCCGAAGCGAACGCAGTCATTGAACGATTGACCGGCGTTGGGCTCTAATCGATTAAAATAGCGGTTGACTAAACATCAACATCCATAATTAATCAATTGTCGATAATTATACACATGACGATACATGTAATAATTTCGCACATGTTGTCTCTCGTATTTAGATTGACGAAATTAATTATTGGTCGGTAAATATATATATATATATATAATCAAATTAGAATGATCGTTTATTATATAGATATTTTTTTTCGGTCCATTTCCATCGATCAATGCCCAACACTGTGCGATCGCTCTACGAAAATCGGCGGAATGTTGGATGCATTTCTGTTCCACCCCGAAATGAAGAAGGAGAACCCCGTGTCGGGGCGATCACTGCGCGTTTCCTCGTTTTCCACGAAAATCCTCGGCCACCGGGCGTGCCAAGATAGCCACGTGCGCGCGCGCCTTTCACTCGATATTCATCACGACCCACGCGGCCGGTAGGTGGGAATTAGGAGGACACCCTGTACGCGAAGATCGCGGGGAATGCAAATGCGGGCTAGAAGCCAATGCACTCTGCCGCTCGCTCGCGCGCACGCGCGCCGCACTTGGAGGATTTAAGAGGTCTCGAGAAAATGAACGCGGACAGATATGTGCTTTGTCGTTCAGCCACTAATTGAATAAATATGTCGGTACGCGAGTGTGCGTGCCAGCGAGCAAGACATCGCGTAGTATCGTGCGCGAAAGAAATTGCAACGGGAACGACGTACGGGCCGGTCGTTCTCGCGGAGTAAAGGCTGATTCTCACCGCCCGCCTGAGCAGCAGACAGCAGTCTGTCAGCTCCCACAGTGAACTCTAACCTAACCTAACCTAACCCTAAGCTAACCCTAACTGGCATACATGCGAAGCGATGGCGGCCGATCCTGCCGGATTGGAATTGTCTTTGCTTCGCAAATTTGGTGGGCTAATTAAAATATAGTAGATTAGGAAAAGGCGGATTGTACGTACCTTTCTCTGAGGTTCAGCGTCGTCAGACGTTCAGATAACCCGAGTCGAAATTTTAGTTCTATTTCCGACATGGACTGCCCAACATTGAGAAGTTTTGGAGAATCGATGGGAGATTTAATTTATATAGGAACTGAAGTTCTACTTAACTCTAAATCGCATGAAACATAATTTGCCACTTGTGGGTTCATAAAAAAACAAAACTGTAGGTCATGCAGGATTAAAAATCGTTGATGTAGACTTAAGAGTATTGGTGATAAATGGATATCGAGGTCGAAAATAGAGTTAAAATTTCGATCCGAGAAGTTCCAGAGTATTAAGCATTCCTTATTCGTCGCTATATTCCGCGAAAAATATTTTTACAAACCACATTTTCCTAGTTTTTTTTGCAAGTTCTTCGATCTTTAAATTTCAAACCCGGCAATCCCGCTCAAATCGAATCACGTGATTTGAAAATACTAACCGCATTCGTCCCAGTTTGCATAGAGTTCACCCTGGTTCCGTGAAATCTTTTGTTTTAACCGAATTGTCTCCAGTCTGCGCCGCCTAGACGAATAGTGAGAATCCGGCTTAACTCAGCGCGATTGCACAACGCCCCGGGGAATACGTGAAGGGAGATTAACAAATAACAAGCGATTTAAGAACGGGAAAAGGAAGATCCGCGAGCTTTATTTTCTTATCGTCACCGCGCATCGGAGGCGAACGCCCAAATAATCCGGCTTTGCATTCCACGATCGATCGGTCGCGATCGAACGGATTCAGACAGCTTGTTCTACATCTCGCGACTATGATTTCTCCCCCTTTCTCTCCCTTTTTCTCCTCTTTTCCGATCTTGTCAAAAACAAATATGCAACAGGCTCAAAGAAATAGCGAAGGAAAATTATAATATTGATGTGTAATGTTACTATTACTTACAATGTTTACTGGGTAATTATACGATCGTAATTATCAATTAAACAGGGGAAATATGGAGTAAGATATTTAAGGAAAGACAGATGAACATAAAAAATAATAAAAAAACAATAAAATAATAATAGTAATGAAGAACGATATAATAATAATTATTATTATAAATAATAAAATAATAGTAAATAAAATAACGACAACAAACATGATAAACAAAATAATAAAATAAATAATAAAAGAATAAAATAAAACGAAGTGAAAATAAAACCACAGACGCTCATAGAGCGCGCTAGTCAAATTAGAACGACCAAGCGCGGCCTCGCAGGAGAAAAGATTAATTATTTACTGGTAGGCTCAATATAAATATTCGCACAGGGAAAGAGAGCGCGAGAGAGAAGAGGCGAAGCAAGGAGGAGGAGCAAGCGAAGAGAGAGAGAGAGAGAGAGAGGAGAGAGAGAGAGAGAGAGAGAGAGAGAGAGAGGAGAGAGAGGAGAGAGAGGAGAGAGAGAGAGAAAAGAGGCGTCACGTGTGGCGCCCACACGTGCACGCGCTCGTACCTACGCGGCACGCGCGCGAAAAGGCGGCGATACCGCGCCATCGTGATCGTCTAGTCGCGACCGTTAGCGGGGAACGGCGATCCGGAGGGCCGCGCGTGGTATCGCGCTCGCGCCCGGTGACGTCATAACTCGGTCAGTGAACCGGCGAGAGCGCGCGGCGTGTGCGTCTTACGGTTTCGAAAACATTTGGCGCCGCGTCTATACGCGCAGAGAGGCACGTTCCACCACGACACCGGACACGCCGCTCCGTTCCGCGCCTCTGCGCCGCGCGGGATGATGACACTTTCTCTCGCTCGTGCAGCGGAGCTTCTCCTCTTCTCTCTTCTCCTCTCCTCTCCTCTCCTTTCTCGGCCGATCTTTCTTACCTCTGCCCGCCGCCCGCCGCTTCCTCTCTCTTTCCGTGTTGAGATCGCGCGCGCTATCCTATTATCTACGGTCGCGCCTAACGGCCCACGAAACACTCGCCTGGCCAACTCGGCCGCGCCCGAGGTCCTCGCACGTATATAACACAACGTCTCGGCGTGACCCTTCACCCCCAGGCGGCCAGTGACGCCTGCGTTCAGCAGAAAGAGAACGCGCGCGCAGGCTGATTATTGCCTGCGACTGAAATATCCCAGGCGGACTTTTATGATTATTACGATGCTAATTGGGTTATGTAATATTGCACACAAAGAGGGAGAGGGAGAGAGACATTTACGGTGCTGAGAGGAAAAAAACACAGAAAGAGAGAGAGATGGTTAAGGATGGGAAGATAAGCGTAAAATGGAAGTAAAATTTAATCAGTTAATACAAATAGAGACAATCGACGGTGGAAACCTGGTAATTTTTCGAATTACATTTATGACGCGCGAGTATGTTGTATCGAGTAAAGTGTAAATTTTGCGTTGCATCGAGACAGCCACTGCATTTACTGAAAATTACACTCGGATGTTTACACTGCATTTTACAACGACGTATCGTTTGGAGCAAATTTTGCCGTTATTAATTTCTCCCGTCACCCTGTGCGGTA